ACACCATTGAAATCTACTTCTCACTTCTTTCTCCAAGTAAGTTCTTAGGAACACGCAGAGTTTAAAAAACGGATGAGACTGCCTTCTCCTCATTTCTAATGAAATTCCTGTTAAGAGCATCCTGAAAGATAACTTCCAACCTGCTACCAGCCTCTGGCTCCCTGCGACAGCCCCTGCCCGGACCAAGTTAACCAAGCCCAAGTCCGCGGGATGCTCCGCCCACCCGAGCACCAAGTTTATGGGGCGCGTCAGAAGCCGCAGCCGTCCTCCGGTGCCCCGGGCACCGCTCCGGGAGGCAGCTTTCCTCCCTAGAAGAGTAAGGATGCCGACCCTCACACGCGGCCCGGGGCCGCACGGGGCCGGACCCACCGCTCTGCACGTGGCCTTGTTCCAGCCTCACCCTCCTCCGGGTCGGCCTCTGGATCCGCCTCGCGTGGCCGCGGGTTCAACAGCTGTTCCAGCTGCAGCGCTAGGGGCTGCGGCCCCGCCATCGTCACCAGGTCTCACTCCGCTCCGCGCCGCGCACGTAAATGTGCGGCCCCAGCCCGGGACGCTGTCTCCCCGCCGGGTCCTCTCGCCGGGAGACTACTCTCCAGCCCAGCCAGGAACCGCGCGGAGTCGCGCGCCCAGCTCAGGGATGGCAACTTCCGGAAGGCGCTCGGGCGGGGGCGGGGCCTTCGCGTCACTCCTAGAACGAAGGCGGAAGCGCGCGGGAGACTGAAGGGATCGTCGCGGTCTGGCCGCGTGTGCGCGTGCGCGTGCGCCGAAGGGGTGTGTTGGGGGCACGCGGGAACGCGCAAGGGTTCGTGGCTGACGCCAGCGCTCTGCAAGGATTGTGATGAGAGCGGCCGTTGTCCCCTTGAATAAAATATACCTAAAGATTTGTCCGAGACTTGCTTAGAAATAAAGTACAGTGTAGCCGTGATCCATGGCGGCTGATTTGGAAAGAAGGAGGGAGTAAAGCGTAAGCGTCTCGAGCCCCAGGTGCGCTTTCAGGCATGCCACAGATTGGGACCAAAAGCAGGTCTTGCATTTCATATTTTGGAGGGGCCGGGCTTAAGCCTCTGGCCTCGCAGCTGCCAGGATTTGGGAATCCTATGTCAGAGATGGGTATGTGTAAGTGTGTAGCGGATTGCTGGCATCTTTATTAATAGGAATAATTAGAAATCGCTATGGCTGTGCATAAATAAGGATCGATTATGTAGTTTCTCCAAGTAGTCTTGTCGGAACAGGGAAAAGACGGTGGAGAGGGGGTTACTATTCAGCACATCTATCTGTATTGATATCTTTGCTGTTCAAAGATGAGGGCATACTCAGACACTTGGAACTGATACACAAATACACAAAAACTCAAGTCTACCATTAGAGGGGCACGAGTAGACTCAAATGTAAATATTTCATAGGATCAATTTAATTGCACCCAGTCACATGGAAAGATACGATCTTTTTATATTCTCTTTCCTTCACCAAACATTCCCTGACTGCCCACTATGTGGCAGGCACTGCTAGAAGAGATGCAAAGATGAGTAAGTTAGATTCTCTCCTGATGGTCATCAGCCTGGAGGGGCAGACAAACATGTAAATAGAAAGAGCAATAAGGGATAAGTGTGCTTACAAAGCAGTCTATCATTCCAGTATCCGTTTGAGGTCGCCTACAGAGAATTGAAAACTCCTCAACAGAAACTGCCTCAAAAGGATCCAGAAAACAAATGTTAGAGGTGTCCTATGTCCTTCTTGGGTGCAGCCCAGGCCTACTGGATCCACAGCTGAACTTCTTAGGGAACCCTAAGCTCCCCAGTGTTTACTGTGGAACCCAAGGGAAGTAAGAATCCTTGACTTTCACAGTCTTCACGTGCCTTCAGGATCAAGATCAATGATGTGCCTTGTCCTATGTCCCTTTCCTAAGTTGCTGCATAGTAGAAAGAGAGCTATCTTAGGATTGACCTCCTCCACCCAAACATGGAAGGGAAAGAATGCCAGGCTAGACCAAGAGCACCCTAAGCAGGGGGCTCAGGCAAAAAAAACACTAAAACAAATAAAAACCTTGCTTTTTACTGTCTGCAAAAAAATTCAAGCTAGGAAACAGCTTTAAACACACACACACACACACACACACACACACACACACACACACACCCTGTAATTACAGTCTGGGGCCCCTCTCAGAGTAAAAGCATGCTCCTCGGGCTGCAACAAGGGGCCATTGCCCTAGGCTTCAAAGGACAAAAATGTTTCTCTCAGCCCACATTTAGGAAATTACCTCCCGCAATCCTCTTCCCTTCCTATTTTGGACACTAATAATGCTTAGAAACCTGGCCTAGGGGTAAAGAAAAGGGAGAAAGGGGGAGGAAGGCAAGGCAGGTCAGAGACCACCTCTAAGCTGTCATGCAAACAGGACACTGCTGGGTGATTCTGGGCAGAAAATGCTATAGACCTGCTTACCTCTTCTTTCTTCTCTGTCCTGGTTCCCACTCACTTGGGAAGCTTTTTGAGGAAGAAATCAAGACTATTCCTGTCACACACATGCCGGGGACCCCAAAATGTTTCCTCTACTTTCTTAACCCATACTGAGGGTAGGGAAGGGACTCCAGGAGTGGAGAAAAGAGGGGCGAATTCTAAAACTTAATATGTAACTGAGAGAAATTGAGGCATGGGGAAGGCAAGCAACCTCCTAATGCTCTCTCTGCACCCCCCCCCCTCTAGTTTCTTGAGAAGGGAGAACGAGATTCCTGGTGGGGATGGGATAGAGAATGAGGGTCGACTATGGAAGGGCATATTTCAAAGACTTCATTTGCTAGAAGAAATGTAAACCTCTGACTGCTCTAGAGATGAGAGCAGATGAGATAAGCAGGGGGTGAGAATAAATGGGAGCACACTCCCAAAAGAATAGCCCTCTCCAGAGAAGGTCAGAGGGTCTCCCTATTCACAGTCCCTCTGCCTGCTGCCTAAGGGCTACAACGTGGCAAATAGATGTAGGAATAGCAGAGGATGGGTAGGGGTGACATTAGATACCCCCCAATCAGTTGCCTGTCACATGACCAGGAGTTTCAAGAGTTTGGGGAAACCAGGTTCTTACCTGCTTCTCTTCTCTGTTTCCAGATACTATCAATCTCCAGGTCCCAGGCCCCTGCCAATGCCTGTCCTGGCTCTCCATGCATAGTCCTGCCCAGCCTTGTCTCACCCTAAAGTAGCCCCCCAGACTCCTACGGCCTCCCTCAGCCTGAAGACGTTGGATGGGTGACTTTCACCTCTCTCACCCAAGGCAGATGGTGGCTCTGCTGCTGGCATCCTGAGGGCAGGTGGCCAAAAGGCTGAAGAGGTGGCAGCTTTAAGATGGCTGCAGGGAGAAACCAGGCTGCCAAGCCCAGCCAGAGAGGAGACTGTTCTCAGACGAAAGGGGACTGGCTTGGCCCTCCCCGCTGGCCAGAGCCTTAATAGGGAGCTCTCAGCCCCACCAGGGTGGGGATGGTGCAGCACTTTTCTGCATCTCAGGACCAGAGGTGGGCAGCGAGGCCCCCTTGGGAAGGAGACTAGTCCTTCACATTTCTAGATCTCCTCCTCTCAGGCAGCTCCAAAATGGACTATTAATAAACTTTGCCACCTGTTTAGGTATTCGTTAGGGTTCAGAATACAGCACCAAGGGGGGAAAGACTGAGCTGCTGCCACAGAGTCAGAGAGAAAAATTGAGTCCACATCGAGCAGTCAACTCTAAAACGCTTCTTATCAAGTACCCGATTCCACAATAAAGCTGCTAAATAATTCAGCAGCCTTGATAGGAAAATGCAGCTTCCCAATGAGGTTCAGTTAAATGAATGTCTTTTCAGGGGGTGGCTATAATAAATAAGTTGGCTATGATTTAACACAAATAAATGCTAAATGGGCAAAAACAAGCCGATCCAGTGATTGCATACAAAGCACAGGCTAGTTGTTTCAAAAGTCTCTCCTGTATTTCATAAATTGGGGTTTCTACAAGAACACTGCCAGATTCCTCCCTGATAGTCATCCCCATTGGATAAACCATCAAATGGATGCAGTGAAATATTGCTTATTTTAAAGACTTCTTGTCAGGAAAGATACACTTGGTTGTGTCTTAACAAAATATAAAAACAACACTGGAAATTACATGCCATTTAATGTAAAACCTTGATTTTTAAAAAATAAGGAATTAAATAACCCAGACTGAAATCTAGGTTATACGGAAAAGAAATCCTGGAACTCTAATAGTGTCTGATATTAAAACACACACACGTATTTCATAGCAGATAAAATATTTAAATTCCTTCCCCGTTTAATGAAGGCTTGGAAGGGACTGAACTACTTTTCAGAACCAATTGGCAACTGCCAGTTAACATTTGATTTCTATATTGGTTACTTTTACTCATCTCTCAGAGAAATGCAATATGTATCTGTGCCAGGCAAAATAGTTTTCCTTCTGGGGAACTTCAAATGTAACAAATACTATAAAACAACTATTTCATATCATTTCTGTGAAGGGATTAAAGTATTTCATTTTAGCTGTACTGTACATTCATTTTACATTATCTTTCAAACCACCAAATTAGAAAACAGGATTATCTATGGGAAATGAATTGAAACTGAAAAAGACCACCTCTAACTATATATTTGCAGCTAACTGACATTCACAAGTCCAGTTTTGTTTGTGTGGAGAGGGGGAGCGAGAGAGTGCACGGGATCTCCTGCCTAATCACAGACTAGGGTCACCCATTTTGAGCCATGGATTTGATTTCTATTTCACATTCTATATTAACTTATCAGCAAACATCTCTTCAACTGTATCAGTTAAATCCACAGAATGCAAATCTGTAGTTAATAACCGCGGGAAGCCATAGAGAAAAGCTTGCTTGGCTGGCAGGAGCAATGGGGTTCAACCACAGCCAAGGCAAAAACATATCTCAGTCCTGCCTGGCTTCTGAGAGGTCATTCAGCTCCCCATCCTGCCTCCCTTCTAGTTCTTAAAACATCAAATAACACCAATTATCTAAACATCCGATTTTCTATTTTTATTAAAAACTCACAAATTTATTCAACATGTTTTCTTTCATACAGTGAATGGTCTAATATGCACTGGAGGTCACACAAGCTTAGGTTTATCAGAACAATAAAAGACATATGAGAAATTTAATATATAAAGAAAAAAGTAGCAGCTGTTGACTGCATATTTGACCATAAAATTTAAATATTTTGGACTTTTATTTTAAAGACACAAAAATAAAACCTGTGTGGGTCTATATAAGTCATATTAACAATTCCATGAATGTTCAACAGGACTAAAAATTAGCAAAGATGTTTTTTTCTTAAACCTTGTAACACTTTTTTTTTTTTTTTTTAACACTTTCTCAGGTTGTGGTGCCAGGCACCTTTACAGTATTTGTGCTATAATTATTCTATTTGGCAAGTGTCTGAATATCGTGTTTTCTCTGCCTTGTGTAAACAACACCTTTTTACATACTAGCACAGTGAGCTGTGAGCCCTGCAAATCTGTCAGAACATCTACAGGAAAAGAAAATGAACAATTTTGGTTGAGTGCTCAAAACATTTTGTTTTTAAACAAGAGGTTTCAAAACAGGATATATTAGTAAAACACTGAACTCCTGAATTTAACATTATACGTAAACAGTTGACTGTTTTTTAGTTCAATAGTCTTTTTTTAAACTTTGTGTGTTGTGTGTGTCGGAAAGTAAAATACTTTTCTTGTACAGCTGATGTTCAAGTCATTTTACTGAGAGGTCTGGCTGGAGACCATCATATCCAGTGTGTCTGTGTGTATATGTGTGTGTGTGTGGAGCTTTGTGAAGGTAGAAGAGTTGATACTGAGGGCTTTACATTTAGAATTTTGCAATTTTGGCAAAAACAAAACAAAAACAAAAAACCCAGAGAGACAAAAAATATATATATATAGAGTCCCACCTGATGCACAGCAGGTCGGCGTTTCTGAAGCTATAAGAGTTTGTTGTCGCTGTTGCTGAACTCTGAGACCAACACTATTAGATTTCCCATGGCCAGAACCCTCTTGGACGGCCCGGGAGCGCCCAGGGATGATTCACCTCCCGCACCCGGTTAAGGGCGCAGCCTCCCTCCCTGCGGCTCCCGGCATCACCGCTGTGCTTTGCGTCCGGTGGCCGCTGTGGTGGTTTCTGTGCCGCCCGCTGGCCAGACGCGCACGCCCGCGGTGTCTGTCCACGGAGCCAGGTCCAGGTGGGAGGTGGGGAGAGGTCTGCATTTCCCTTCGGGAGCCCCAGTCCTGCACCTTGCCAGCCAGCTCTCGGATCCCAGTCCTACCTCCAGGCAGATTTAAATCCTATTTCGTGTCCCCCTTTCCCGTCTAGTTTTCCCATACGGAAAATGGCCCCCGCGGCTGGACGAAGGTGGGGGTGGGGGGTGGCTTAATTTTTATGGTTTTTTTTTCTGTTTTTGTTTTTTTTTTTCTTAAATAAAAGTTCATTTCTGTACAACCACGAACTCCACGGACTGTGTGAGACCCCGCTACCACACGGCCGCCTCGTTCATTTCAGGAGGGTGAGACAGGTGGTTCCCATAGCTCGCCCCGCCGTTGACCGACAGCGACGAGAAGGGGGGGCTGGGCCCGAATACCTCAGCCGACATTGAGTGAAGAGGCCCGGGCAGGCTGGGCTCAGGACTGGGCGAGTCCCCAGGGGGATGCGCCAGGATGTCGGTGAACCGCTGCGCCTCGCTCGACGGGTGGTGGCCGGGCAGCGGGTGCTCCAAGCCACCCAGGGGCGTCCCGGACGGCCCGGACGACGGCACGAAAGGTAGATCCACTGGCGTCTGAGCCTGCGAGGACGGGGGGCCTTGCGGGAAGAAGTCGTAGTTGCCCCCGGGCCCGTAGTACTCGCTCTGGTAATCTGCGGAGCGGCGGGGAGGAGGCTGTCAGGGCGGGGCCCGGGGTGGGGTGGGGTACAAAGGGCCGGGAGGCGCGCTCGCCAGCCTGCAGGGGACGGCAACGCGGGGCGCTCCTGGTTCATGGGCTCCCTGCCGGGCTGGGAGCCGGGCTGGGAGCCGGATGCACACCCAGGAGCTGCTCCCTACCTGCCCACCCGCTCATTCAGGGTCGGGAATTCGGCCCTCGGTCTCACTACCTCCCCGGTTATTACTTCCCGGCCTCCACCCATCTCTCCACTTGTCTGTAGAGAGAGAGAAGCGCCTCTGACGCTGCCACCCTCTTCCAACGAAGCCAAAGCCGGCCTGGCAGAGACCTGCACGGGCCAGCGCACCCACCTCCGTAGAAAGAGAAGGGCCCGTTGGGGATGAGCTCGCCGGGCTCCAGGCGGTCCACGAGCGGCCGCATTCGGCGCGGACTGCGGAAGAAGGCGTGGCGCCGGGCGCCGAGCGCGCTCAGCTGCTTCATCCTTCGTTCCTTGGAGCGTCGGTTCTGGAACCAGACCTGAAGCATACACGCCGTGGGGTGAAGCCACAAAGATCCCACTCCCCACTTCGGGTGCGCCGACCCGCCGGCCCCTCACCCCTCCACCGCCCAGCACTCAGGGTTCCAAGTGTGCGGGCGTGTGTGTATATGTGTGTGCGCGTGTGTTGTGTAAGATGGGGGGAGGGGGCGTCTTCTGAGTAGGACAGCGCTGGGCGGCCCCTGAACCAATGGTGAACAGGATTCCGGCCTGGAAGGCCTGGGCAACGTGAGACAGTTGGAGTTGTTTCTAACAGTCACACTGTCAGTTACAGCTTCTCCGGTCGTGTATACATATAGACACTCAACCTCCCCAAGTACTGTCAGACACACAGTTTTTCTTTCACGGTCCCTGGCAGCTCCCTCCTCCACTTGATAGTGAGAGAGAACTAAACAGCCTCCTGTTGACACTCAGTCTCCCAACGATAGTGACACCAAAACACACAATCTCCTTTTCACACCCACGCACAATCTCCCAGTGCCAAAGATACTTATCCACAGCCTCTCACTCATAGTGACACAGACATGCAGCCTACCGCTCACATGAACACACATTGGCACAACTTCACAGAGGCTGCAGGGCCTCCTTGGGAGGGCAGCTTGCAGACATGTGCCCATGCACACTCAGCCTCCCAGGCAGATACACCCACACCTTCGAAGAGCATCCAAGAACAGTGAACCAGACACCTAAACTTGGACGGGAAACTCGACCCCAATCACATGCAGTCTCAGATCCTTACAACACCTGCACAGCTGCCCAGATGGCCACCTCTCCTCCCCATCTCACTTTGGACGGTGAGGTAGCGCTGACTCCCTCCAGACTCCCCATGAAACCAGGAGGCCCCACCTCTCTTCAGAGGGGAAGTCTCTGTTCTGGGAGTTGTCTAACTAGGGCAGGAGACACACAAAGTTGGGGATGCAGAAGGAGATCTCCTTGTGCAGAAGCCAAAGGAACCAATTAAGTCCGACATGCACAGCGACCTCTGGGCTCCTTCGGAACAGGGGTAGGTGGTGCAGAAAAAAGGGTCCCAACTCTCACTGGGTGTCCGACAATGTTCCTTCCTCCAGGCTTCTGCTGAGCTCCCCTCTCCCCCCCTCCACCACTATCACTAGTGCTGAAACAAGAAGAGGAGACATAGGAATTTACAGTAGTTCTAAGCATCAGGCAGCGCTTAAAAAGTCGCAAGGGATAGAGGTTTATCTGGGCTTTTCTTCCCATCCGCCAGCCTCCAGAAACTTGCTCAGCTCCCTAAAGCTGGCCTGGAGGAGTCATGTGGGTCTAGGGAAACTGAGCGGCAAGCAGGGGGCCCTAACCTGAATGACGCGCATGTTGAGGCCAGTCTCCTGAGCCAGCTGCTCTCGGATGTGGCGCGTGGGCTTAGGCGTCGCGGCGAAGGCAGCCTTCAGCGTCTCCAGCTGCTTGGCTTTAATGGTGGTGCGTGGCCCCCGTCGTTTGGCGCCTAGGTTCTGGTCGTCATTCTCGTTGCTTCCCCCTTCCTTGTCTGATACGTTGGCGCTCTCCGAGTCCTTGGCGTCGTCCTGAGACGGGTCTTGGGAGTCCGGGGACAAACTGGGGTCACTGCCCGTTGTGGCTGGGGAGAAGGAAGGAACAGGTTGAGGAGCAGCCTTGGCGGACCGTCCTCCCGCACGACCTGCCCGCCCCTAGCCAGCAGGGAATTGGGGCCTCACCCGAGTGGAGGCTGTTCTCTTTGGCGACACTGCTGTTGCTTAGGTAATCCTCTTTGCAGACGAACTTGTTCTCGTCGATGATGTAGAGCTCCTCGCCGGTGGAGAGCTGCTTGTTACACATCATGCAGGTGAAGCAGTTTAGGTGGAACACTTTGCTCCGCGCTCTCCGCACTAGGTCGCTAGGGGAAATTCCTTGCGCGCAGCCCGCGCATTTGGTACCGAAACACCTGCAAGGGGGGCGGGGGTGAGGGACAGGGGACACAGAGGGAGAAAGACAAGCAGAAAGAAAGAAGTAGAAAATGGAGAAAGGTGGAGAGGAAAGGGGGAAAGGAGAGAGAGAACGCGGGCGCCAAAAAGTAAGAAAGGCATAATACCGATTAAGCAGAAAAGAAGGCAGGAAGACAGAGGGAGGGCGCCACAAAAAGTCGAAAAGTCGGGGAAGCGGTACACAAGTTAGAGTTAGAGAGCGAGGGACCCAAACTGCCCCACCCCTACCCTTATGCCCAAGGCTGTCCCAAAGGGAAAAAGCGCTGCCGAAGAAGGCGGCGAGGAGGCGAAGGGAAGAGGGAGGGAGGCACTTATTTTCCGATTAGATTCAGAAAACAGTCAAATTCTAATTAGAGCTCCATATAAACGCCTCCGGAGCTCCGCTTTTCTTTCCTAGCGTCGCTTCTCTTTCACCGCCAAAGGACACGCTCACAGGCGGGGTTTGGCAAGGTCCAGTCCCGCCGCGGGTGAACAAACAGCCGCGAGAGCCCAGACGGCCGCAGCTGGACCGCCGCCACGTTCAAGCCCAAAGACCGGCAGGTTGGCGCAAACTAGAGTCGCGGCTTGGCTATAGGTGCCGGGCCGCGCTTTGCCCGGGCCAGGCCTCTGGAGCCCACTGGCAGCCAGCACGGTTCGCAGCTCCCCGGCTGGGTTCCAGCCAGTACCAGGGAAAACCGGCACGGCCTGCGGAGGCTCGGAGGTTCAGCCTGCGCTTCCTCCTGCCGGCACAGCGTTTTGCGCTGTCGCCAACAACCAGAGCCGCGTGTCCTGGGGAGGCACTGGGGACAGGTGGCTTAAACTCCCACCTCCTCTCCCAGTTTGATCTATCACTACAGACTCCGAAGAAAACAGACCAAGTCAGCCGAGTAAACTGGGAGATTTCAAGCACCGTAGGGAAATGACAATTCGCACTTGCTCCTATTCTTCTCTGTTGACTTGTGTATTTGTGGATTTGGTGACAAAATAGTGAGTTTAAGAGAACACAATTAAAATGCTAAATGAAGGAGGGGTGTCAAAAGAAATCTTGTCTTTTTCCTGGGTTTCTGAAAGGAGGTGGCTGGGGGTGAGAGGCAGTACTTGGAAGAGCTCCGAACGGAGCCCTCGCCTAAGAGCCAAAGTCCATGTAAGGCAGAGGCCAAACCTCATGCCAACCCGGGGCAGGTGGGGAAGCAGGGGAAAGGATCTTCGCGGAAGCTGCAGCCTCGAGGCATTTCACAGTTACCGCGAGGCAGTTTGCCTAGGCCAGCTCTCTGAGGCCGGTTGGAGTTTCGGGAACGCCCCGGGATGTGCAGGACAGGGTCTCTTCACTGCCGCTGCTTAGGCAAGGACTCAAGACACCCCATGCAAAAAGCTCAACGGTTCCCGCCAAGACCTCCTGGAGACGGAAAAGTCGGTGGCAAGGAGCTAGACCAGCCTTCAAAGCTCAGTCTGGAGGGCAAGCAACCCAGGAGGCCGGGAGAATGCAGTTGCTGGAGAGCTCCGCGCACTGGGAGTGAGGGGAGCCAGGACTACAACGCCCGAGGCCGCGCTGCCTTCCTCCAAGATTAGAGGGGCTTTTGGGCCGAGGCGGGCTCACTCCCTTTCTTCCCAAGCACGTGCAGCTAAGCCGCGACCCACAATTTCCAGGATGCAAGCAGGGCCGCGTCCCGGGAGCCCCGTGCGCCAGCTGGCTAAGAGGTGGGCGCCTGCGGGACTTGGCTGCCCTCTCCAAAGGCAGCTCCTAACGGGGCCACGCTGACCTCTGATCCTTGGCTGACCGGGAAGGGCCCGCGGGGAGGGAGCAGCAGAGGCGCGCGAGGGAAGTACTCACCGGAAGAAGTCGTTTTTGCAGTAGAGCTTGCCTTCCCGGGAGAAGCACTTCTCGGTCAGGTTGCATTTACATTCACAGCACTGGACGCACTTGACGTGCCAGGCCCTGTCCAGCACGTTCAAGAGGAAGCGGTCCAGGATGGGCCTTTTGCAGCCGGCACAGTGCACCATGGTCTTTGGTTTGGTTGGGTGAGGCCCGGAGACAGAAGAGCAGGTAGAGCCGAGGGAATGACTCCCGAAGACGACCGAAACGAGCTCCCCAGTCCCTCCAAAAAGAGGAGAAACACTCGGCGGTGAAAGCCAAAACCCGCACCAGGAAATCAAAAGAGGGGGAAACGAGACAAATGGGGGAGGGAGGACAGGGCGCCTCAGTGACGTGGAGCCGGTGAGTCCCAAGGCCCCGGGGCACAGCAGCGACGCTGCAGCTCCTGGGGCGAGGAAAAGAGTCCCAGGCGGGCGCGAAAGCGACTCTTCTGCCCAGATCCCGCGGAGGAGTGAAGGTCACCGAGAACCGTGACGGTAAGAGAAATAAATAAATAAAACGGAGATGGTGAAGGAAGAGGACGACGCGACGAGCTCTGTTTGCAGGGAAAGCGTCGCTGAGTTCTCTCGGGCTTGAGGTAGAGCTGTCAGAAGTCAAAGTGCATCTGCTTTTGTCGGAGTATGAGGGCTGGTGTATGTGTGCCCGGCTGCCCGCCACCGGGATTTCCCCTCCTCTTTTTATAAAAGAAAAGAACAAAATGAGTAGAGAAGCTTTGGATCCTAAACTGCCGGCATCGCACAGCGGGTCGGGACGCGCTGGGCGCCCAAGGTGGGCTGGGGGAGGGGGCGGGGGCAGACCGAGGGGGGAGGAAGGGAGGGGAGGGCAGAAGGAAGATCTCGTTGTTGACTGTTGTTGCTTAGGTTTCTCCCCTTTTGGAGAAGTGTTTGTGAAAATCGAGAACGGAGAGGGACAACTCCCGGAGGACGCAGCCAGGCGCGCTCGCTCACTTCCCACCGCCCCAGCCCCGTCACCTCGGCCCAGGGCCTGCTGGCGGCCTCCGTGTTCTCGGGACCGCCCTCCCTGCGCCTGGACTCCTTCTGGTAGGTGATACGGGCTGGCTCCTCACCGCGCCTGGCTGTGCATCGTGGCTCCAGTCACAATTCGCGGCCGCCTGGGTGCGCAGCCCCGCATCGCTGGCCCACACTCCGGTTGCCGGCGTCCAACCCCACAGTCGCTCGACTTTTTCTTTTTCTTTTCCCCCTCTCTTTTCGTTGTGGTGGCAAATCTGGGTTTCCTTTCTAGCCTCTTTCCTTCCTTCCCTTTTATTTTTCTTTTGCAGCGGGAGGAGTCGGGAGGAGGGGGGTAGCTTAGAAAGCTTTTTAAAACGTCCTGGTGCAGCGGCTACAGTTCTGCGCGGCGGGAACAGCTCGGCACCGGCCGCCGCTGTCGCTGCCCGGGCCGCGGTTCGTTCCTGGCTCTCCCTGGACAAGCGTCCCTCTGTCCCTGGTCTCCTGGCCCAGTCTGCCGCCCCGGCGCGTCTCTCCCCAGCTCCGGCGGCTCGGTCACTGCTCCTGGCTGTTGGCTGGGCTCTGGAAGCCCCCTCGCCTTAATGCAGCGCCCGCCGACGTCACCGCGGCCTGCGACCAATCAGCGGCTCGCGGTCCCTCTGTAAACCATTCTGCATCCCCAGGCCGAGGAGAGTGCGGGGAGACCGCGTTTAGAGGATCAGTGGCGGCCGCATCCGCGGCCCGGCGCGGTGTGCGCGGCGGGCTGCGAGGTGCCCGGGCCCCCTCCTGCTCCGGTAAGGCCTCGGTTTCGGTGGGAACGTGGGAATAGGCCAGGCGGAGGCAGAGTTCTGCTGGAGGGTGGGAGTAATCCAAGATCCAATCTTGTTGAAGGCTGGGGTGCAGCTGGGTCTGGGAGCCCCGGCCGCCCTCGTGCACACTTTGGCTTTGCAATTCATTGGGTGTTGGCTCCCCCCACCCCCCCTCTACTTCTAGCAATCTTGGCCTAGAAGTCTCCTCGAGCACAGCGAGGGTCTTTGGGGGGGAGTGGTGAAGGGAGGGCCCTTGGCTGCAGAATTTCCCTCCTCTGGTCCTTCCTTCTGTTCCCCCTCCCCCACTCCATCCAAAGTCCACAGGGTCCCGGTCCCTGGGAGATCTGGGTGTCTGTTTCCCGCTGCGCCGTCTTGTAAAGTTGATTCTGGCGGTTTCCTTGTGGGGGCGGGGGAGACCGGAGGCGCGGCGCCCGGGAGGGGAAAGAAGTGGGTGGGGAAAAGCCTCGGGTGAGGAGTTGTTACCGGGGCGAGAAGTTGTGAGGAAAATGTGATCCGGGGACACCTTTTACGTACAAAAACAAGAGACTAGGCGGGAAACCGCGGGGCTGCGGCGGCGTAGGGGGATTGTGTCGGTGAGAAGGGGGACATCCCTGGGGCACCACAGAGAAGCTGCAGTGGATTGGGGTGTGCAGCGAACAGGCAGAGTGAGCCTGGCTTCCCGTCCTCCTCTTTTCCTGGCCCTGGGCTGACATCAACTTCCCCAGGCAACTGACGCCAGTGCACACCATCAGGGAGCTCACACCTCAGAGTATAAACTCGGAACCACTGCCCAAGGGGCGGATTATTGCGGATATGGGAGTCACTTTGGGGTCCTGAAAGCCTTAGCCACGAAGAGTCAGTCTGGTTCCCTGGCAAACACCAGTCAAATACCAAATTCCGTTTCGACAGCACCATTTCTATGCTCAACTGGGATTTCTCCCAAAGTTATGTTTGAAGGCAGCAGTGCTAGGTAGTTCTGCTATTTTGCTCCCTGTTTTTGTTTTTCTTTCGGAGACGGGTAACTGGAAAGAGCATTTGGCCTAGCGTGGAAGGAAATAAGGATGGGCAGACAGCTAAGTGTAACCAGTATGGGGATTGGCCTTTTTTCCCCCCACTCGCGGCGCAGGGTTCAGACATCCTACATAGGGTCTAGGGCTAACTAAAGGGAAATGAGAGTTGAATCCCAATTGCACTGAGCCTGGGTGGGCAGGAAGTCTAGCCCTCTGCAAATAGAAAACCCTCTTCGGGCGAACCGGCAAACTGCTACAGCGAATTTGGTTTGCGCTTAAGTGGGATTGGAATTTTAGGGTTCTTGCCAACGCCCCGTTTCTGCCTCCAAGTCTCTACCCGCACCGCCCGGCAAACCCTGGGCATACCGACAGCCCTCGCCTTGCCGCCCGCGCCACCTTTTCATTGGAAGCCCAGCGTCGCCGCGCGCCTTCGGCGCTCCGCCCATCCTGACCTCTGGGTGCCGAGTCCCTAACGCCAGCGCCGCACCGCTCACACACACACACACACACACACACACACACACACACACACACACACACACCCTAGGCTCGGGGAAGGCAGTGTTGGGGCTGATTATCTTTCTCGCATCAGCCCCCTTCGAGGGTCTCTCCCAGGCAGGGGCTCAGGGCAGGACTGGGGATGGGAGTGCTGTTCTACTACCCTGCAAGCCGGTTTCGGAGGCTTAGACTTGGCTTTGTGCTCGTCCTGTGGACCCGACATTTGCAGAGGAACAAGCCGACCCGTAGCGGGTACTCCAGGACCCGGGGAGACACTAGAGATGCGCGGCGCGGGATCCTTGCCTCCTCCAGTGTGACCCGAGGCGCCTCCCCAGCCCGCTGTGCCGGGAGAGGTCTTGGGGAGGGGCTGGTCTAGTTCTGTGGTCCCCACGCACCTCCCTCGCCCAGCTGTCTCAGTTCTCGCCGCTAGTGCCCTGGACCCAACCGCCCCTTTCTGGAATCTTTAGCGTACCAGGTCCCAGGCGGCTCGCCACCGCCCCCACCCCAGCTGGGCTTCTTCTTATGCAAAGCAGAGGGGCCAGGGGGGTGGGGGGACGGTGGGCGGGGGACCTCTGAGTTGACAGCTGGACCCGGCTGCTAGCCCCTACTGAACCCAAGGCCTGCCGCCTTCTCCTTTCTGGTGGGCAGGAGGAGGTTTCTGCACCCGTCTGGGGGTGCGGGTACCTTGGGACCTCGACATGGAGGGAAAGAGAACCCCTCCCTGCGGGGGTACCAGCACGGTAGAGGAGGACAGGATGCAGGCTCTGGGACACCGGGCTCTGCTTGTCCCTGTGTCCAGATGGCTCAGTAAACCGGTCGGAGGGAACCAACCCAAGTGTCCACCAGGAGGTCAAGGAGCGCAACTGGAGGAGGCCCTCCTAGCTCCTGATTATAGGTTTAAAGTCCAGATTTAACGCCTCCACGGGGACAGCACACTAGATTAATGTTTTCTTCGTTTCCACTGAGTTTTTATTTTAAAATGTAATTGGTCACAGAGACCTGGAGAGAAAACTGACCGAGCTCTCCAAATGCGCTGTCTCCGAAGCCGCTCAGCTCAGCTCAGCTCAGCCCTGCACGTCTGCTGGGTGAAGAATGCCAACCTTCCCTGCTCTCTCTCACCACTGACGACAGCCTGTGTCCTGAAGTGCACCAGCGCTTTCCTACCCAACGCCCCTAGGTCCTGTGAATTCTGGAGGGGTGCCCTGAGGGTCCTCAACACCTCACCCCCAGACACTCGGAGAAAGCCCAGGAAACAGCTTTCACAGGATAGATTTCTCTTGTGAGAAGTGCCTGGAGGATGATCCCCAGAGGAGGGGCCCTGCCAGGGAACTGGGAGCGGAGGAGATTCTGCCAGCCCTCCCCAGCCGCTCTGCAGTTTGAGGGGCTGGAGGAGCCCTATTCTGCACCCTCTTTTTCCCCGCTGCCTCCTTGATTCGAGCCCTACTTCGTCTCCCTCCCCCACGTTCTCCAGTGGCTCCTGCGGCCAAGCGCCCGAGTTTGCCTGGCAGGTCGCTGCTGTTGATCCCAAGAGCGGCTGCATTTTTCCTTGCCCTCCGCTCTCCTATTCAGTCCGCGAACCCCCAGAATCGGGCGGCGAGGCCACGGAAGGAGGCGCCGGGGACAGAGTGGACTCTAGGTGCTTCCCTGCACTTAGCCGCAGGAATGCGGTGCCACCCGCCACGCGGGGCCAGGAAGAGAGCTGGATGAGTCCTGACCCTTTGGGTCCCAGAGGCCAAGCAAACTCCACACCGACTCCGAGAGAACACGGCAGACGCGACGCAGGAAACTGGCTCGAGTCTCTCGGATCTGCTCCGACCTCCCCCGCTTCTCCGTGTCCTCTCTCATTCCCTCCTGCCTCGGGTTGCCTTAACCTCACTCCGTTACTCTCTCCTGGAAATGACCTACTTGTGTGCAGTATTTTACAGTTTACAGCACTTTGCCCCCTGGACCACATAGTAAGAGGGGGGATCGGTATTACCTCCTTTTTCCCGGGGAAGAAACCCAAGTTAGACGGTTTGCTCCAGATCCGTTAGTCGGGGCATTATTGAAGGAGAGAAGTTTGAGGGGCTTATCACCTGGCCCCACCTCGTACTTCGCCTCAGCCACGTTGTCCGAAGCGAAGGTTGGGGGTGGGGATGGGAAGGGGTACCCAGAGGCCAGGGAAGGGCAGCATGCGGCCGGGTTTCACCGTGTGCGCTCGGGCTGGGTAAACAACCCCGGCTTCCCAGGAGAGCTGGGGGGATCCTGGGCATAAAGAGGGGAAAGAGGTCGAGCGTGGTGGTCTCAGATGCAAGGCAGTGCTTCGGAGCAAAGACAGGTCGCGGGCCGCGTCGGAAGGAAGAGAGAGAAGTGACCGGAGAGGGACGGGAAAGAGAACAAGGACAGAAAACCAGAGAAATAAGGGAGGAATGTGGAAGAGTGATCGGCGATTAAAGAGCAAAGACGTGCTGGGAGAAATGCATGGAGGAGTAGAGGAAAAGAGGGGGAAAGAAAGACCCGGAAAGACATCCAGCGACAAAAAAGGCGGCAGGAGAAAGGCGCGGAGCCAAGGACCCTGCAGGCGCCGAGGGGCG